TTTTGACAGTTGACACATATCGTAATATCTCGTAATTGTATTAATATTTTTTCATATATTGCGATATTAATTGATTATTTAATGTACAAATAGGTTTTCGTATAAAAGAAAAAATAATTTCTTAACAAAAATATTATTGCATATTTGTATAATAATCTCGGCGTTATTAAGAGGGTCCTCGTAGCACCTCTATCATTTGTCATATCATCGTGTGCCTAAGCGTGCGAAATGTCAGCTCTGTGATTAGCCAACTTTAATCGCTATTAATTTAAAAACTATTATAGTCTCGATATTTTCGTCTTAGGATTTTCGTCTGAGAATATTCTAAAGAATCCGCACTTAAAAGAAAATCCGCGTGTTTTGGGACACCCTGTATATATATAATATGAACATTTAATTAATTATAATTACATTAATTATAAAATTTGAGTTATACTAGTTTAAATAAATATAATAATTTAATTTAAATCTGTTTTGGTTTTTATTTTTAATGTACTCATAAAACGTATATAAACCTGGAATGCGCTGGATAGATGATTTGATCTCGAAGGCAACCCACTGTCATATATGGCTTCTGTGGGATATAAAATAAAGCAGGTCTGCCATGCTCGGAAGAATTTCTTTCAGCTGGTCTGATAAGAGTTCCATCGTAAACGGGCCAGAGACCGGAAATGACACGGAAAAGAGAGCTTTTACCGCAGCCATTGGGTCCAGTGATTAGAAGATGGTCACCTGGCTTTATCTAAATTATAAATAAATGTATAGATATAATACATTTGTGTAAAATATAATGGATGTATATTTATTTACCGTATTTTAATAATTTATGGATAATAAAATAAAAATTATAAAGATTTGATAAAAAGTGTAAGAATAGATTAATAAAGACAATATGTTACAAGTGACACTATGCATAGAAGTGAATATATAATAAGAATATAGCACGCATATCTTTTTTGAAATTGTACATTGGAATATAATGACTCTCTAATTACACAAAACTGATAATAAATTACTTACGTGAACTGTTAAGTTAGGTACAATTATTTCGCAATTAGGCGTGACTATCGGCACGTTAACTAAACTTATACTGCCATCCGTACTTTCGCGAACAATTCCTAAGAAACAGTAAGTTACGTATAATGATTTTTGTAGAAAAAATATGAAATAATAAATAGATACAAATAAAGAAGAGTTCCTTATTATGAAATAAGCTCTTAAACCTTCAAATAGTACAACAGTGCGAATTCGCATCGCGAAAATTTTCGAATTGCTAACATTTGCATAGAGACATCTGTCGCGGCTTATCCCCACTACGTTAAATATGCCCGGTACCTCAGGTGACAGATACAAATATGCACAGCTTCAATTTCGTGCAGATTGATAAAATATTAACTTCACAAATTCGTTGTGATGTATATTCGCACTTGTATTCAAATAATGTGTGCCAGATAGGTGTTACTTTTAGTGTTTTACACATTTATAAACATTGTAATATGTACCTTTTTTTACATTATAATAACAAATAAAACATTTGTATGTATAATCTTAATCCATCTGTTTTCTCTGTCTTATTACCTTTCATGATAATATGAACAGTACTTTTTAATATAATTTTAATTATGTAAACGATATTTATTAATAATTTACTTTATAATTAATTAGCAAGATTTATTCTTAAAATACATAATTTTCATGGAAATTATTTTTAGAAAGATTTATTAGAAAGATTCAAATTACTGTTAATTGAACAGAAAATATCCCGACTTCTGTCTATGTGGAAAAATATTTTACTTTCTATTTCTGCAACAACAATAATTTTTTATTAAAGATATACATCATTTTAACTAAAGAATCACGCAAGTTTCACTTTATTTCATAAAATAACAAAAAAATGGCAGTTTTTTTTTTAAAGTAACGTTTTTCTAAACGGTAACTCATTTATAATTAATTTTTAATTGTTAAATAGGTTTTTCACGAGGGGATAACCACTCAGAAAATATATGTACACCTGGACTTCTGACTTCAAGACTTCACCGGACTTCACGGACTTCATCGGACTATACTGGAATTCATCGGACTATACCGGAATTCACCGGACTACATCGGAATTTATCGGACTACACCGGAATTCATCGGACTTCAAGGAATTCAACGGAATTCAACGGAATTCTGACAGGTTGTACACCGGAATTCAAGAGTAGTTACCCCCTCGGTTTTCCATTGAATTGAATAATACTGCGGATTTGTGAGAAAATTTTACCCCCAAAAAGTTAGGTTTTCAAAACATTTCTGTTTTTATCCTCAGAAAAGATGTACAATTTAAGATATCAAATCCAAATTCGCACCAGTGTTCCGTTATTGGGTGCTCGAAAGAAATGTACCATTTGAAGGTTAATATGAGATAGTGAGTTTTCTGTTAGACTAATAATAGGCGCCTTTGTTGATTTTATCATAAACTATTGCTTTTAGGGTAAAATTTATTTAGTAGAAAATTCATTATTAGATCGTAGTACGTGTAGTTATTGCGAAAAAAAATTTGTGAAATTATAAATGTTGTCAAATTCATTAAAGTGTCTTTAGACCTTGTTTATTATATAATAAATAAATTTTGATAATAAGTAATTTAGTAATCAATTCTTTATAAATTCGTAGATTTTCAGTGATAGAATAAGATCGTATTAATAGGAAAATATTGGAATGTTGAATTGCTTAATTGTAGAAATTAGATTTGGTGATCATCGCAAGGCAAATGGAGCTATTGTAATATAAGATACTTAGGATTCTTCTAATGTGAGAACTTATGCCCCTATGTTCAAGTGACGATTGTTGCTGGAATATGAAGGTTATTGTACAGTATAAAAAAAGTAATAAAAGTAACAGTAATAAAAAGGATTCAATAGTTTTCTAACTGCAATGATGTATTTTACTTTATATAAAAGCACCAAGATCCGCTGTGTACCGTGAAGACGTTACGATTTCAATTGTTTGTTAAAATTTTACGGTGTTTTCTGATATTTAATTATTTTACTTTACTTTATTAACGATTTCTTCGAGTATCTTATATTAAGAGTATATTTTTTTCTCAGAAATAATAAAGTAATACTAATGCGAACCTACACGGATGTTAATGTGTATAATAACTTTTTTTATTGTTGTTACAAAATCCAGCCACACACAAACTGCGTGCTATATTTTTGTCAGTCTTGAAACATAGTTTTTACATGAAGTCAATTTAATTCGTTACAGTGGATTCCAGCTGTGTATACATATGTATCTGATTAGGTGTAACATTGCTCATAGGTAAGAGTGAATTAAACTCAATAGAAAAGTGCTGTATCATTTTGCGATTTTCGCAATATTTAAGATGATGCTGGAACGATGTTAGAACTTCGAAATGTCGCTGTTTTATTGATAATTTGTGCACATATATACCTATAAAAAATCTTTTTCAAAAAAAGAAAAATATACGCCAAGTACATAAACAATGTCGCGTATTACATTTTTTCTAAAACTAAGAACAATTTTTTTTTAAACGATTTAAATATACAATTTAAAAATTATTTAAAAATTTGATTGATCAAAAATAGTCATGAAATCAATAAAATTAGCCAAGTTACTAAACTAGCCTCATTATTTAAAAAAGACCTCAAAAAACTTATTTGTGAAAAACATTCAAAAATTTAAAAAATGGAAAAGTGATAAACTGAAAGTAATAATGAAGAAACTTGGCCCGGGTCACATTAATTGCATTTCTATATTAAACTATATGTAAATTTATATGAAAATAATTTCAATATACTATGTATATATATATATATATATATATAGTATATTGAAAAAAAAATAAAAATAATTTTTAAAGATGAAAATATACATATATATATATATACATATATATATATATATGTATATTTTCATCTTTAAAAATTATTTTTATTTTTTTAAATAAAGAGCAGCAATCTTTAATGGCCTTGATCTTGATATATGTCAAGTTCATGTTCCTGAACAACATTTAAAATGTTTTAGCTATTGTTCGGACACCTTGGATAATGCTAATGCCGGCGGTATTAAACTTTCAAGCTTCATAACTGGAAATTTACTTAATAAAAAAATATTTTATTTATGAGTTTTGGAAAGCTCTCGAAGTAAGCTACAAGAATATGCAATAAAAAATAAGGGGTTCTATTTAAAAAATTTGAAGTGACCTTTCCCTGACTTTAACAGCGTTACTCACCCAAGGTCAAACCAATGGTGCCATTCTATGTCACCCTTGAAGTCAAACAACTTTTGTTTAAAATATTTTTCCATATCTAAAGCCGTTTCCGAGATATTAGACCTAGGTGAGACTTTATAGATACCCTGCGTATATATGTATATGTCGCAGTCTTTTTGTATAATCAGCCTTTTTGCATAACGCCTTTGAAAATAACGTTGCTGGTTTTATGTGGGCAAAATCAACACTGCCCGCTGTCCAGCGATGGCAAAGTCAGCCACTATTATTTTATTGTGGACTTAGCTCAGTTATTTAATGAAGTATATCTTTGCGCTAACATTTTACAACGCAAAGCGAGGTCCCACATGGGTTTACAACCTTTTACGCGAAGCGAGATTTATCCCACACCAAAAAATGGTTTGGGTTAGGTTAGGTTAGTTTTTTTTAGGTGGAGCTTCCGTAGGAGGAGGGAGCCTCCACGCATGTATTTTACAACGCTAAGCCAGTGCTCCACATGGGTTTATGCAAAAAGGCTGATTATACAAAAAGACTGCGACACACACACACACACACACACACACACACACACACACACACACACACACACACACAC